GTACATTCTTCCTTCTAGGCTCTGTAACAAGTGCTGGAGGTTTGGGCATGGTGCCATCCGCTGTTCTGGGACTGTCTGTCCTTCGTGTGGGGGTGAAGGTCACAAAGTCAGAGTGCACTTCTCCCCAGGCTCGTTGTCTCAACTGCGGTGAGGCCCATCCTACCTTCTCCCGTGCGTGTCCATTAAAAGCTTGAGGCGGCCGTCCTCAACTTGAAGCAATGGGAGCGTTTATCTTTTCCTGAGGCGAGGCGCCAGTTTCGCCGGCTCCCGCCTTATGCTAATATCTCTTGTGCTCACGTGTTGCGCTCTTCCTCTCCTCGTCCTTCCCACCTTCATTAAACTCTCAACAGTTTCTGGGCCTTGGACCCTGATTTGCCCATTGCCCCCTTCTCAGTTCCTTTGAGATCTGTCTCAAAGGATCCACCTCCTGGTCCTCTGTCTGGGGGTTCCCCTTCTTTCTACCCTTTGTCTTGTCTCCTGTGTCTTCTTCCTTGTCTCCCTCCGTTCCTCCTTCCCATCCTTCCCCTCCGTCTATTTTGACTCTCCCCGCCGCCTGTCGGTGCGGGCTGATGTCCATCGCTCTCCAAACGGCCGTCGTGTGTGCTCTCGTTCAGCTCCTCCTGTGAGACGCTAGAATCCGTTGCCCAGTACGTAGTTGCTGGGAACTTGTCTCTTTAAGTCAGAAGCGTAATCCTGGCTCCTCTCCTTCCTCCTCCCCAGCGGGTAAGGAGGTTTTGCTTTCTTCCTCGGCCCCTACTTCTGCCTCTCTCGCTCCTTTCCCCTCCCATTTCGGTGGTTGCGAAACATTTCTGTTCCTGCTATGGACGTTTCTTTGGCCCCCGCTTCCCTCACGTTTGCTGCCCTTGCCGAGGTGTGCTCCCCTCTTTCTACTCCCCCTCTTCCTGCTGCTGTCCATGACTGCTCCCCTCCGTTGTCTCCTCCTCCTCCGGACCCCACCCACCCACCTCTGGTCTGTTCTCCCACTTCTTTCCCTCCGTCTTTGATCAGTTTACCCATGCCACCTAACCCTGACTTTGCTGACCCTGATCTTCTTTAACATGCTATGTTGCTCTTTCGCCTTTGTTTCTTCCTTCTTCTGTTGTTGTCCTTTCTCTTCTCGTCGATGTCTATTCTTCAATGGCACGTTCGAGGTTATTGCGCCAATTTCCTCGAACTCCAAGTTATGATTTCGCGGTTTTCGTCCCTTTGTGTCTGTCTCCAGGAGCCGATGCTTGGTGCTCGTCCTGGTCGTTTTCGTGGCTATTCCTTTCTCTTCCTCCCCCCCTCCCCCCAGCTGTTGCTGGGGTTCCTAATTCTTCTGCTCTCTTGATTTGCTTTGATGTTCCCTTTGCCCCCTTACTTTTTCCTTCGCCTCTCCATTGGTCAGCTGCTCGTATCTTTGTGGGGAAATAGTACAGTTTGTTCCATTTATCTCCCCCGAGTGTCCCGCTTTCTCTTCCTGGACTCCTTGCCGGAGCCTGTGTTCCTGCTGGGCGATTTCAATTGTCATTCTCTTTGGGGTGATGTTCCGACGAATACCCGAGGTCGCCTTCTTGAGCCGTTTATCCTCTCTTCTTCCCCGTCTCTTCTGAATTCTGGTGAGCCCACGCATTTGGACTCTCGGACTCGCACCCTTTCCTGTCTTGATCTTTGTCTTTGCTCTTCTCTTTACTTAGATTTCACGTAGCAGGTTCTTAATGACCTCCATGGCAGTGACCATTTCTCCATCTTTGTTTCCTTTTTCTTTTCGTCCTCCCCTCTCCTTCCCTAGGTGGCAGTTTGCTAAAGCGGACTGGAACCTATTTACCCTCAGTGCTGCTCTTTCTGACCTCTCCCTTCTGCCTCTCCCTCACGCTCTCCTCCTTTTTCATGAGTCTTCGATGCTGCCCTCCGCTCTATTCCTCGCTCTTCCTCTCGGGGTCCCCGGAAGTGCGTTCCCTGGTGGAATGCAGACTGCTCGGGCTGTCCGCTGTAAGTAGGCAGCCTGGAAGAGGCACCGCCGTCAACAGACGGCCGATTCTTTTCTTTCGGGAAGAGAGTGCGGTGGCCCTTGGGGCCATCCGTACGGCTAAACGTGAATGTTGGGCATCTTATTTCTCCACAATTGCGTTCGAAACACCCCTACCACAGATCTGGAAGTTTATTCGCAAGATAGCGGGTAAGTTCGTTCCCAATGTTTCGCCGGTCCTTCACCTCTGTGGTACTCTTGTGGCGGACCCGTTGCTCTTGTGGCGGACCCGTTGCAGGTCGCTACCGAACTGGGTTCCCACTTTACTTCTGTTAGCTCTGGTCTTCATCTTCCCCAATCTTTCCTTCGTAAACCTGTCCTTGAGTCTCGTCCTTTAGATTTCTGCACTCGTCTTCGACTTTCCTATAACGATCTCTCTCTCTCTCTCTCTCTCTCTCTCTCTCTCTCTCTCTCTCTCTGAACTTCGTTTTGTCCTGGCCCTCTGCGGTTCTACGGCGGCGGGTTCCGATGATATTCATTGAGATGCTTCGCCATCTCCCTCCGTGCACGTCTCGGTATTTACCGAGTCTGTATAATCGAATCTGAGTCGTTGTCAGTCTCTGAGGTCTGGCTCGATGCCGTTGTCCTCCCTGTTCGCAAACCAGGGTCTCTAGGAACTTCCCCTAAGGACTTTCGCCCTATTGCCCTCACAAGTTGTCTGCAAACTCTTTTGAACGTATAGTTAACGTTCGTCTGATGTGGTTCCTGGAACACAATCGCCTCCTCTCCTTCTCAATTTGGTTTCCGCAAGTGCAGCAGCACGACAGATGCCCTGGTGAACTTGGAGGTCTATATTCGTACTGCTTTTGCTGCGAGGACCTCCGTTGTTGCCGTCCTTTTTGACCTGGAAAAGGCTTAAGACACCACTTGGCGATATCATATTCTATCCCAGCTTCATTCTTTTGGCCTTCGTGGTCATCTCCCTCTTTCTCCGCAGCTTCTTCTCTCGTCGTTCCTTTCGGGTGCGCCTTGGTACCACTCTGCCTCTTTTCAGCAATACGAAGGTGTGCCCCAGGGTAGTGTTCTGAGCACTACTTTTTTTTCTGGTTGCCCTCAATGGTCTTCTTTCCTCTCTTCCTTCAGGTGTCTTCTCTGCTCTGTCGATGATCTTGCCCTTTGCTATCAGGGTGATGATTCGCCTCTCCTTAAACGCCAGCTTCAACTTGCGATTGATGCCGTGTCGTCTTGGGCCACCGATCATGGCTTAGTTCTCTATTACTAAGACTTGTGACATGATTTTTACTCGGAAATGGGTTGTTCTTCGTCCCTCTGTCACTTTATGGTCATCCCCTTGAGTACAAAGATTCTGTGAAGCTTTTGGGGTTATTCCTTGACTCCTGTTTGTCTTTGTTTCCCCATATCTCTTACCTCCGTGTTGAGTGCTCTAAGGCCCTTACCCTCCTTTGGGTATTGTCCCATACTTCTTGGGGAAGCAGACAGGCGCACTCTCCTTGCTTTACATTCCTCTCGTCCTATCTAAGCTCGATTATGGCTGCCCTGCTTACTCGTCTGCTTTTCCTTCTACTCTTCGCCGTCATGATGCCGGCACCATACTGGGTTGCGCCTCAGTTCTGGTGCCTTTCGTTCGATTCCCGTCCCTAGCTTGTATGTTGACACTGGCTTCCTGTCTCTCCAGGACCGCCGTTTTCGCTACTGTCTAAGCTATCTTGCGCGGTCCTTACAACATCCTTCCTCTCGTCTCTGTCGTGCTTTAACTTTTACCCCTTACTTTTTTTTAAGGAGGCCTGGTCGACGACCGGGCCGCGGAAATGTTAAGCCCCGGAAGCGCACCACGGTAACCCCTCCTGCGGTTCCTGTTCCTGTTCACCACCTTTTTCTGTCGAGTTATCTCGCTTACAGGATTCTCTTTCCGTTTGTATTTCTAATGTTTCTCCTCGTGTTCCTTCTTTGCCCCCGTGGAGAGTTCCTCCCTCCGCAGTTTTGTACTTCCTTGACCCGCATCACTAAAGCTTTTACCCATCCTACGGTTCTAAAACGCCTTTTCCTTGAGCACTTTTCTTCACTCCCGCTCCGTTTGTTTTCACCGATGGGTCAAAGTCTGCGGAAGGTGTTGGCTACTGTTGTTTTTCCTGATTGCACTTATGTGTCGCTTACCCCTGGAGACTAGCATCTTCACACCGGAGCTTTGTGCTATTCTCTATGCTCTTCGTCTCCTGCTTTCTCGTTGTCAGTCTTCCTTTGTAGTTGTTGACTCTCGTAGTGCCCTCATGGCTCTAGGGTCCTTTAATCCGGTTCATCCAGTAGTTGTCGAGATCCAGTATTGGCCGTTTCTTGTTCACAGTAAATTTAAGTCGGTTGAGTTTTGTTGGGTTCCCAGCCATATTGGTGCGTCTTTAAATGAGCGTGCAGATGCTGCCGCCAAGGAAGCTGTCTGCTCTATTCCCATGTCTCGTAAAGGTATTCCATATTCCGACTTTTACCCGGTTATCCATTCCTCCGTCCTTACCCGTTGACAGGCTTCTTGGTCGTCTGTTACTGGTAACAAACTACGTACTCTTAAATGTTTTCCTCGTGGCCGTCCTCCTATCACCGTAACCGGCGATGGGAAACGGCTCTGGCGAGGTTGTGTATTGGCCATACTCGCTTAACCCATGGTCACTTGATGGAGCGCCGCCCTGCTCCTTATTGTCCTAATTGCATTGTCCCTCTTACGGTCGTGCATGTGTTTCTTGAATGTCCTGACTTCCAGGACAAGCGTGTCTTGCTTTCTGACTGCCCCTCAATAGAATTCTTGGTGACTGATACTTTTGATATCGTTCGCCTTATGCGTTTTTGTTCTCGTATTGGCATCCTTGGTGATATTTAACGCCCTCTGATTATTCAGCACATTAAATGGTGCTACATAGCCTTCCCGGTTTTGTGCCTTCTTTCGATAATTACTTGCGTAACACTTCTATTTATATAATTATATCTATACTGGTCACTATCGGTTTTTGTCATTTCATAAAATGTATCTCTTATTACTTTTCAGCAAAAGAAGCGTCTCATTCAAGCATTATTGTTAATGCTAGAGATTCAGCTCATTTTCCATATACTTTGCTCCTTGGGCATACTGTACACGAGCTATGATGATGACGATTTGGCGCAAACGTTTTTCAGGTTGAGAATTATAAGTTTGTACCTGTTTATCGAGGCTTGTCTTCTCCTAATCATCCGTGCACACTACTTGCAAGTGAGTAAAAATTATTTCTAAACCTGCCCCTATCCTCACAATATCTTAACGTGTGCCATCTTAATGTATGCAAAGATTAAATTTCCAGAAATGGTTAATGTTCACAATATTTAAAGTGATGCGATGATTCCCTGAGCAAACTACATTGCGTTTTTCCTATTAGTGCCTGTTTAACTCGATGAAACGACAGCAGTTATGGTTTGAAAATGTGCCTCAACTTTCGTAAATACTCATAAGCCAATTATTCCAGGTAAAACTGTCAAATTCAGAACAATCAAATATTAGTTCTGGTGGTGCAGCAACAAGCAGAGACATCTAGCTCATCGCTACGAAGACTTCTGTCGACGGTGTGGCAAATTGTATAGACGCTTACCTTTACGGTACATGCTTGTTAAACCCATGATGCATGGGTCTTCTTAATTAACGCTAATGGAAATCTTGATTACGAAATTATTTTTGGTTTTATTAGTGCCTAATTTTTAAATTTAAACTGTGTTTTAGTGTGAAGGTTTTTAGAAATTTTCAAACGCTTAATGTGATTGTCTATAATGTAATGAATGCAGTAGTATAAAAGTCTTTTTGCAAGATTAGAATAAGACATTCTCCCTGTGCAGTATATTCAGGCATACGCATTTATCTAAAAATCTTAATTTCAACTACACTAGTCTGTTTTCTCTCAGTATTTTACTACTCTTCGATTCTGATTGTAAGATGTCTAGCTAGACTACATGTATGTGGGACTGGTTCCGTGAATTTGAGGATAACTGCAGATAACCTGTGAGGATCAACAGGTTGACTTAATCAGTGGGTTTTTGTCAGGCCCTGAGGCTGTAAGAACCATTTATGGGTGACAAACCTGTTCACTGTGTAAAACTTACTTTGTTAGCTTATTACCTACTATTTAACGATACAAAGTAGATATCCCCATTTACTAAATCTATATTTATAATCACTTAATGTACTTTAGACGTTAATAAACAAATTATTTTAATTGGTTTTATATTTCCTACCTCAGTCAATGACTGATAATGTCAGTACATGTGAATAGAGCAATCTGCAGAAGGTCTATTGGACCAATGTACCAAATCTTGTATAGGAAACTTCCCTCCCTTTACAGCACGTGGTCGTCGTGACGTTGCTTGGTAGACGGCTGCTGGGGTGTGATGCTCCGTGAGAAAGTCCTGTCCTTTCGAAACCTTATGCTCCTGCTGTTGTCTACTCGAATTTTGCCAGATAGTTTCCTTTTCCTTATGTCTCGTTTTTCTCCCCCCCCCCCTCTTCTCCTTTCTAATTGTCATTTCCTGCCGAACCCCCCTCCCCATCCGGCCCGTTGGCGTCGTGAGGGGGGCTTCGTGGACGGCTGCCGGAGTGTGATGCTCCGTGGGACAGTCCTCTGTCCTTTTCTGGCCTTGCACTCCTGCTGCTGTCTTCTCTAATTGTGCCGGATCGCTTTTCCTTTTTCATTGTTCCGTTTTTCTCTCCCCCTCTTCTATCTGCTTGTTTCCTGCCGACCATTTGCTTGTTTTGGATTGTTTCTTTGGACTTCTTCTATTTTGACGCCTGGGTGCTTGAGGAGGCATACTCTTGCACCCGTAGAACTGTAGTACCCAACGTCCCAAGCGAGGGGAACCTTTTATTGTCAATCTCCCTTTCGTCGCTGAACCCGATCTCGACGGACTGACGGTTCTCAAGGTGGCGTTTGTGGGGCGTATACTCGCGACGCACCCCTAGGGGGCCCCAGCATGATCGGCGATAGCTTCCTGTTGGGTGTTCTGCCTCTAATTGTGGCTCCATGGTGGGTATGGGGGCACATTCGTGGATGAATTTATCACTCCTCGTACCAATGTCGTTGAATGCTTATGTTGTACCCTCTCAGGCTCGTGGGGTGGGCGACCAAGCCCCCGAGTCGGCCTGTCTTGGAAGACCGGGCCCTGTAGCCTCCGCTGCATTGGGCCCCGACCTTGCTCCTGCTTTGGCCTCTCTGACTCCTTCCTCTGGCTCCCCTCCCTCCTCTGTGGTTGGGTCGAGCCCCAAGCCCCCAAGGGTGACTACCTCGTCCCCTGGTGCGGCTCAATCTCTAGTTGTAACTACTGCGCCTTTTAACCCCTCTCTCTGGGGGTTCTAACCGCCGTCCTCGTCACGGCCGCCCTCGCTAGATTCCTTCCCGTTCTGCTACCTATCAAGCCTTGTTTGGTCCCGCTTCGTGGGGCCAAATATTTTGATCTCCTCTCTCTTGATTCTGCGCCTCCTAACGATTTCTCCCTCCATCGACATCTCGTTGATTCCGTGGATGCCTCCATTACTTTCAACCCCACTCGTCTCGGTACACGTGTCGTTGCTGCTCCTTCTCAGGATGCAGCTTCCCGCTTGGCTGCCTTATCTTGCCTTGGCGAGATCCCTGTTCGGGTCTCCAAGAACGTTCAGATGAATGCCAGTGTTGGCACTATTCTCCTCCCACCCCATGTTGCAACCGGTGTTCGAAATCTGCAGGATTGCCACGATGATATTCGGCATATCCTTGATGCCCAAGGCCATTCTGTCCACCAGGTTGACTCGTTTACTCGTCCCCCTCGTGGTCGTCGCCGTCAACCCCTTCGCGTTATGAAGATCACCTTTGATGGTAGGACCCTTCCATCCTGTCATTCTTGCTGGTGCCAGGTGCTCTGTCCAAGAGTATATTCCTTCTCCTCGACTTTGTAACAAGTGCTGGAGGTTTGGGCATGGTGCCCTTCGCTGCTCTGTGACTGTCTCTCTCTGTCCTTTGTGTGGGGGTGAAGGTCACTCTAAGTCGGAGTGCACTTCTCCCCAAGCTCGCTGCCTCAACTGCGGTGAGGCCCATCCTACCTTCTCCCGTGCCTGTGTCCATTACAAGCTTGAGGCAGCCGTCCTCAACCTGAAGCACCGGGAGCGTTTATCTTTTCCCGAGGCGAGGCGCCAGGTTCGCAATACTAACATCTCTTATGCTCGCGTGTTGCGCTCTTCCTCTCCTCGTCCTTTCCCCCCTTCCTCAGACTCATAACCGTTTCCGGGCCTTGGACCCTGATAGGCCCACTGCCCCCTCCTCTGTCCCTTTGTGTTCTGTCCCGAGGGGTCCCCCTCCTGGTCCTCTGTCTGGGGTTCCCCTTCTTTCTACCCGGTCTGTCATGTCTCCTGTGTCTTCTTCCTCGTCCCCCTCCGATCCTCCTTCCCATCCTCTTCCTCCATCTATCGGCTCTCCCCGCCGCCTGTCGGTGCAGGCGGATGTCCATCGCTCTCCTAACGGCCGTAGTGTGTGCTCTCGTTCAGCTTCTCCTGTTGACACTAGAATCCGTTGCCCGGTACGTAGTTGCTGGGACACCAGTCTCTTTAAGTCAGAAGCGGAAGCCTGGCTCCTCTCCTTCCTCCTCCCCGGCGGGTAAAAAGGCTTCGCTTTCTTCCTCAGCTCCTACTTCTGGCTCTGTTGCTCCTTCCCCTCCCGTTTCAGTGATTGCACCCCCTGTTCCTGCTATGGAGGTTTCTTTGGTCCCTGCTTCCCTTTCGGTTACTGCTCTTGCTGGGGTGCGCTCCCCTCTTTCTACTCCCTCTTCCTGCTGCTGTCCTTGACTGCTCCTCTCCGTTGTCTCCTCCTCTTCCTCCTCCTCCTCCTCCGGACCCCGCCCGCCCACCTCTGATCTGTTCTCCCGTTTCCTTCCCTCCGTCTTTGCTCAGTTTACCCATGACCCCTAACCCTGACTTTGCTGACCCTGATCCCGACCCTGATATTCTTTAACGTGCTCTGTTGCTCTTTCGCCTTTGTTTCTTCTTTGTTCTCTGTTTTTGTCCTTTCTCTTCTCGTCGTTGTCCATTCTTCAATGGAACGTTCGAGGTTATTACGCCAATTTCCTCGAACTCCAACTTCTGATTTCGCGGTTTTCGCCCCTTTGTGTCTGTCTCCAGGAGCCGATGCTTGGTGCTCGTCCTGGTCGTTTTCGTGGCTATTCCTTTCTCTCCCCCCCTCCCCAGCAACGGCTGGGGGGGGGGGGGGAGAGAAAGCATCGTTCCCGATGCTGGGGCTTCTAATTCTTCTGCTCTCTTGATTCGTGCTGATGTTCCCTTTGTTCCTTTACTTTTTCCTTCGCCTCTCCATTGTTCTGCTGCTCGTAGCTTTGTGGGGAAATGGTACACAGTTTGTTCCATTTATCTCCCCCGAGTGTCCCGCTCTCTCTCCCTGATTTGAAACACCATCTAGACTCCTTGCCGGAGCCTGTGCTCCTGCTGGGTGACTTCAATTGTCGTCATTCTCTTTGGGGTGACGTTCTGACGAATACCCGGGGTCGCCTCCTTGAGCCGTTTCTCCTCTCTTCTTCCCTGTCTCTTCTGAATTCTGGTGAGCCCACTCATTTGGACTCTCGGACTCGCACCCTTTCTTGTCTTGATCTTTCTCTCTGCTATTCTTCTCTTTACTTAGATTTCACGTGGCAGGTTCTTGATGACCTCCATGGAAGTGATCATTTCCCCATCCTTGTTTCCTTTTTCTCTTTTCGCCCTTCCCTCTTTACCTAGGTGGCAGTTTGCTAAGGCGGACTGGACCCTATTTACCCTCAGTGCTGCTCTCTCTGACCTCTCCCTTCTGCCTCTCTCTCGCGCTCTCCTCCTTTTTCATGACACTGTCTTCAACGCTGCCCTCCGCTCTATTCCTCGCTCTTCCTCTCGGGGTCCACGGAAGTGCGTTCCCTGGTGGAATGCGGACTGTGCTCGGGCTGTCCGCTGTAAGCGTGCAGCCTGGAAGAGGCACTGCCGTAGGCAGACGACCGATTCTTTTCTTTCGGAAAGCGAGTGCGGTGGCCCGTAGGGCCATCCGTACGGCTAAACGTGAATGTTGGGCATCTTATGTCTCAACAATTACGTCCGAAACCCCTCTGGCCCAGATCTGGAAGCGTATCCGCAAGATAGCGGGTAAGTTCGTTCCCGATGTTTCACCGGTCCTTCACCTCCATGATACTCTTGTGGCGGACCCGTTGCAGGTCGCTTCCGAACTGGGTTCCCACTTTTCTTCTGTTAGCTCTGGTCTTCATCTTCCCCAATCTTTCCTTCTTCGTAAACCTGTCCTTGAGTCTCGTCCTTTAGATTTCTGCGCTCGTCTTCAGCTTCCCTATAATGATCCCTTCTCTCTCTCTGAACTTCGTTCTGCCCTGGCCCTCTGCGGTTCTACGGCGGCGGGCTCCGATGGTATTCATTATGAGATGCTTCGCCATCTCCCTCCATGCACGTCTCAGTATTTACTGAGTCTGTATAATCGGATCTGGGAGTCGTCGTCAGTCCCTGAGGACTGGCTCGATGCCGTTGTCCTCCCTGTTCGCAAACCGGGGTCTCTGGGTACTTCCCCTCAGGACTTTCGCCCTATTGCTCTCACAAGTTGTGTCTGCAAAATCTTTGAACGTATGGTTAACGTTCGTCTGATGTGGTTCCTGGAACACCATCACCTCCTCTCCCCTTCTCAATTTGCTTTCCGCAAGTGCCGCAGCACGACAGATGTCCTGGTGAACTTGGAGGTCTATATTCGTACTGCTTCTGCTGCGAAGACCTCCGTTGTTGCCGTCCTTTTTGACCTGGAAAAGGCTTACGACATCACTTGGCGATATCATATTCTATCTCAACTTCATTCTTTTGGCCTTCGTGGTCATCTCCCTCTTTCTCCGCAGCTTCCTCTCCCGTCGTTCCTTTCGGGTGCGCCTTGGTACCGCTCTCTCTGCCTCTTTTTCAGCAATACAAAGGTGTGCCCCAGGGTAGTGTTCTGAGAACTACTATTTTTCTGGTTGCCCACAATGGTCTTCTTTCCTCTTCCTTCTGGTGTCTTCTCCGCTCTCTATGTCGATTATCTTACCCTTTGCTGTCAGGGTGATGATTCGCCTCTCCTTCGAAGCCGGCTTCCACTTGCAATTGATGCCGTGTCGTCTTGGGCCACCGATCATGGCTTCATGTTCTCTACTTCTAAGACTTGTGCCATGACTTTTACGCGGAAACGGGTCGTTC